TACCACATTATATTCATTATTTCGTTATATACTTATACACATACATACATACATACATACATACATACATACATACATACATACATACATACATACATACATACAAACATGCATACATACATACATACATACATACATACATACATACATACATACATACATACATACATACATAAAATGCCACAGTACAACAGGTGGGGTCAGTAAGGTCACTCCTGGTCTGGTACAACAGGTCAGGTCACCATCATTAATATACAAATGGTCTTTTCCCTTGTTGACCGACGTTGCTTATTGTTGACACTTCAATATATTGAGCGCGGGTGTTCCACTGGATATTGATTTTAACTTTCTTGACGATGATGGCTGGAATTGGGCTTGATTCATCACTATCTTTGAGTTATAACTTCAAACATCGTCCTCAGAGGGTGAGAACTCGTTATATTCTGGTGGCGACAGATTTGGTGCTTCTGTACTCAAACGTTTAATAAGACAAAAATAATTCACACATAAACACATACATCAATAGAACAAACAAACACACACACACACACACACACACACCAAACAAACAAACAAACAACACACACACACACACACACCAAACAAACATACAACCACATATACACACACACACCCAACAAATAAACACACACCAAACAAACAAACAAACAAAAAACAAAACACAGACACACACACACACACACACGCACGCAAACAAACAAACAAACAAACAAACAAACAAACAACACACACACACACACACACACACGCACACAACAAACAAACAAACAAAAACAAACACACACACACACACCAAACAAACAAACAAACAACAAACACACACACACACACACCAAACAAAATGCACACACACAACACACACACACCAAACAAACAAACAAACAACAAACACACACACACACACACACCAAACAAACATACAAATACACGCATACACACACACACCCAACAAATAAACACACACCCAACAAATAAACACACACCAAACAAACAAACAAACAAAAAACAGAAACACAGACACACACACACACGCACACACACACACACACCAAACAAACAAACAAACAAACAAACAAACAAACAAACAAACAAACACACACACAATAAGACACACCCCCTCCCCTTCCTTAGCCATCTCACTAATGTTGACGCAGCTGAGCAATCAAATAACCATTTCGCTACTATATGCCAGACGCTCCCCCGGCTTGACACAACCACTCTCCCTGCTTACCTACCAGCCCCCCTTCCCACTGACTTAGTAGAAGAATTTGAAGTAGCAAAACGCCTGGACAAATTAAAATTAAAACGCTCTACCACCCCCATTGACTTACCAATGAAACTCTTCAAGGAGTTCTCCCCGGAGCTTGCTAAACCCCTCTGCTCCATCATCAATGCTTCTCTCAGTCAAGCCAGATGCACAGCTGACTGGAAGACCTCTTATGTATCACCAGTGCCCAAGTCAACCAGCCCACAATCCTTAAATCAGCTACGACCTATTGCAATCACCCCAATACCCAGCCTAATCTGTGAAAGTTTTGTGTTCGACTGGGCTTATGCTGATATTGCAGGAGTCGTAGACCCTCAGCAATTTGGCAACATGAAAACTTCCTCCACCACTCACTGTCTTGTCAGCTTTCTCGATTACATATACCGCCATCTCGAAAAACGAAAAACGTCTGTAGCTGTCCCCCTCATTGATTTCACTAAAGCGTTCGACCTAGTCGACCACAATATAATCATCAACAAAGCTATTGACCTCGGGCTTCGGAGAAGTCTTATACCATGGCTTACAGACTTCCTCAGTGACCGACGCCGTTGCACGCTTCCGAGGGGCTGTCTCCACCTTTCAGTCACTCACCTGTGGCGTCCCCCAAGGCACCAAGATGGGACCACTCTGCTTCCTTATGCTCATCAATGATGCCCTAAGAGAAACCCCTGCTCGCTGGAAATATGTCGACGACTCCACCATTGGGATCAGCGTCAACAATTCTGCTCCCAACTATACCGCCCTTCAGGATTTTTTGAACAGTCTCCAAAACTGGGCCACCAACAACCATGTCACCATCAACCATACCAAGACCATGGTTATGCACATCAACCTCTCCTCCGACATTGTCCCACCTTCTTCCATTACTCTAGGTCCGAACACACTCCAGGTTGTAGATTCCACGAAGCTCCTCGGCGTCACCATAGACAACAAACTAAATTGGAAACCACACGTCAGTGAAGTTGTCAAATCCTCCAGTTTCCGTCTCCACCTCCTCCGCTGACTCAAGTCTCTCGGAGTTCCTGCACACGAGCTCCTCAGTGTTTACACACAACATTCATACTTCCCAAGCTCACCTATGCCTCCCCCACCTGGTCTTCCTCCCTAAATGCCACACAACGTAAACACCTAGAAAAAGTGCAAAAGAGGGCATGCAAGATTATTCTCTCCCCTTCCTACTCCACATATCAAGAAGCGCTCAACACACTGACCCTTTCGACTCTCACTGACCATCACCACGACCTCATCTGCAAATTTGGTAAGAAGCTTCTACACCATCCCCGACACCGGCTCCTACTACCACCTGAGATCCCTTGTCCGAGAATTGCTGTTCGACACCACAACCGCATCCAGCCCATACGTGCACGAACTGATCGCTATAAGAACAGCCCAGTCCCAACCATTGTAAAAATTATCAATAACTTGTAATAAATCAGTGTATTCACTCCCAGTAAACACTGCTCCTTGCACTGTCACTATGTTGAAATGCACTGTAGTTTGAGCTTTTCCCCATCTAGTTATTATATGTCTTATTTGTATCACTTATGTTACTTGTATATTATTTGAAATTCGTAACCCATTCCCCAAATATGTAACTGTATATTTTCAGCCTTCTGGCTGCCAAGCTCTTTCAATAAACCGTTAATTATTATTATTATTATTATTACAACAAACAAACAAACAAACACACACACACACACCAAACAAACAAACACACACACACCAAACAAACACACACGCACACAACAAACAAACAAACAAACACACACACACACACATACACCAAACAAACAAACAAACACACACACACACACACCCAATAAACAAACACACACATATACACACCAAACAAACACACACAAACACACACCAAACAAACAAACAAACACACACACACCACACAAACACACACACACACACACACACATACACACACACCAAGCAAACACACACACACACACCAAAAACAAACAAACACACACACACACACACACACACACATACACACACACACACACACACACACACACACACACACCAAACAAACAAAACACACACACACACACACACCAAACAAACAAAACACACACACACACACACACACACACACACAAAACAAAAAAAAACACACACACACATTGACTTCACTAAGCCATTCAACCTAGTCGACCACTATTTTTATCATCAACAAAACTATCGACCTCGGGTTTCGAAGAAGTCTTATAGCAAGCTGTACGCTTCCGAGGGGCTGTCTCCACCTTTCAGTCACTTACCTGTGGCGTCCCCCAAGGCATCAAGATGGGACCACTATGCTTCCTTATGCTTATCAATGATGCCCTAAGAGAAACCCCTGCTCGCTGGAAATATGTCGACGACTCTACCATTGGGATCAGCGTCAACAATTCTGCTCCCGACTTTACCGCCCTTCAGGATTTATTGAACAGTCTCCAAAACTGGGCCACCAACAACCACGTCACCATCAACCATACCAAGACCATGGTTATGCACATCAACCTCTCCTCCGACGTTGTCCCACCCCCCTCCATTACTTTAGGTCCCAACACACTCCAGGGTGTAGATTCCACTAAGCTCCTCGGCGTCACCATAGACAACAAACTAAATTGGAATCCACACGTCAGTGAAGTTGTCAAATCCTCCAGTTTCCGTCTCCACCTCCTCCGCCGACTCAAGTCCCTTGGAGTTCCTGCCCCCGAGCTCCTCAGTGTTTACACAACATTCATACTTCCCAAGCTCACCTATGCCTCCCCTACCTGGTCTTCCTCCCTAAATGCCACACAACCTAAACACCTAGAAAAAGGGCAAAAGAGGGCATGCAAGATTATTCTCTCCCCTTTCCTATTCCACATATCAAGAAGCGCTCGACACACTGACCCTCTCGGCTCTTACTGATCGTCGCCACGACCTCATCTGAAAATTTGGTGAGAAGCTTCTGCACCATTTTTGACACTGGCTCCTACTACCACCTGAGATTCCTCGCTCGAGAATTGCTGTTCGACACCACAACCGCATCCTGCCCATACGAGCACGAACTGATCGCTGTAAGAACAGCCCAGTCCCAACCATTGTAAAAATTATCATTAACTTGTAATCAACCAGTGTATTCACTCCCAGTAAACACCACTCCTTGCACTGTCACTATGTTGAAATGAACTGTAGTTTGAGCTTCTCCCCACCTAGTTTTTGTATATCATATTTGTATCACTTATGTTACTTGTATATTATTATTTGTAAATCAAGAGACCCATTCCCCAATTATGTAACTGTATATTTTCAGCCTTCCAGCTGCCATGCTCTTTTAATAAACCGTTAAATATTATTATTATTATTATTATTATTATTATTATTATTATTATTACAAACACACACACACACACACACACACACACACACACACACACACACACACACACACTCTTTGGATATATATTAATATTAGACACACTAATATTGACATAAACTCCGATATAACTTTATTACTGACAAAATAAATACAGTTCCAATCATTTCAAAATAACATTAATATGTAGTAGCCAAAACGAACTATCTGTGCTTTCTTTGTGGGAAACAATATGAGACCATGGACGATAAATATTGGTATATGAGGGCTGTCACTAGTCACACGGAGGGCTGTCACTAGTCACACGGAAGGCTGTCACTAGTCACACGGAGGGCTGTCACTAGTCACACGGAGGGCTGTCACTAGTCACACTTCAAATTTCGGAGCATATTGACCACACGCTTCGCAGATAGTTGTTTTAGCTACTGTAGTACAGGTGACATATACATACTATTATATATCATTTAGAAATTGTTATATAATATTTATATACTATTATGAACTATTTAGATACTTTTAGATATATTTAGATACTAATCAATAGCAGTTTTATACATATACTGTACTGGTAGATATATTTAGAGATACTACTTAGATACTGGTAGATACTATTCCAATACTGGCTCTCATTGGTCTTCCGTTCGTAGTGGTTTTTATTGGCAAAGTTATGTATAGCTTCCTAGGTCTATCCACTACCTCCATAGGCCTACAGCTGTTTTACAAGGTCCACAATATCGCCCTCAGACTTGAGTTCAGTTCACTGTTGAATATCGTATCTTCCTTCAATCGCTGGTGGTCGCTAGGTGAGTAAAGGGGGGCGCCGCCTCTATCACCCGCAGTTTGATCTGGGGGAGACACCGAAGGAGGAAGTCACTTGTTACACAGAAGATGAACTTTGGTGCATACATACATACACGTTGACACACACACACACACATACATACACACACACACACACACACACACACACACACACACACACACACACACACACACACACACACACACACACACACACACACACACACACACACACACATACATACATACATACATACATACATACATACATACATACACACACATACATACATACATACATACACACACACACACACACACACACACACACACACACACACACACACACACACACACACACACACACACACACACACACACATAACACTAATACCAAACACTGTAGAATATTTTGTTAATCTCTTGGAAAATACAAACAAACTATAATCAGAGTTATTGAGGCGAGTGACGCAGGAGGCAGGTGAAATTACACCTGTTCACTAATTAGGTTATACCATTATCAGGTAAATATTTAATCGTGTTAACTAACCTCGTCTTTATGCTCGGGAAAACCCTGATTGTCGTAGGTATATCTGAACACTCCTTCCCGTTGTTCCTTGGAGCTGGTGGCGGTGGAGGAGGAATACGTCTTACCAAGCAGTTTCCTGGTGTGTTGTGGGCAAAACTCCGGAGTTGGCCTCAGGAGCTCCATGCCCTTCTTTTCCCCCTTCCACACAACGTAGATGGCGCCCAGGGGTAGACAGACCACAGAGGAGGCACAGATAAACCAACCCAGGATTTGGATTTTGTCAGGGAAGATGTAGGAACCGAACTGGATAGGTATCGCGTAGTAACATGACAAGACGAGAAGCAGCTAAGACGAAACAAGGTGATACAGGTACGTTAATAAGTGTCTCAGTATATTTTTCATATAACACACACCCCATAGAGTATCTTTACGATTTGGTGTTTGAATGACACAATGGACGAAGCATTTTGACAACCCTACCGTGACAACAGGAGTCGCGGTGTTCATTTCGAGATTTATTTGACGCCTCGGTAAAGATGCATTTTGGAGTGTGTGTGTGTTGCTGTATCAAATGCATAGGCGTATGAATATGCAATGTATAAATCTATTCAGTTATACATTATTGTTATCAAGTGAATATATGTATCAACACAAAGAGAAATAAATGTATGAGATGTGAGGAGAGGTACGAACTGCGAGGCAGAGAGGCGTGAGGAAGAGCCAGGTGAGGCGCCAGTACCCACGCAGAAGGAGGGGCACGTGTATACCGATCTCCTCCTGGATAAGCTTCAGGAAGTTGCCGCAGCCTGTGGGGAATGGTGTGAGGTCAGGTAACGTCAAGCCAATAGTTTCTTAATCACCGTGAAGAGTTTTTCTTTAATGATATTAAACTGCTAAAGAAAATGGTAAATTTTTTATTATAGTTATGAATAGTTAAAAGAAAACTCAGAAGTGTAACAATATTTTAGATAATTTATTCGAGAACCAAATATATCATCCAGTGAAAACAAACACATGAGTTAACAGAAAACGGGAATCTGGACAACAACAGTGTGATGTGAGGTAAGTCCTGGTCCTCGGCGTTATCGTGAGAGTGTTTGTGCCCACAGGGAGTCAGTGGTTGAGGTAGAAGGACTCCTGGTCTGGTTGGGAGCTGTTCGACTATTGTGACGTTTTGGACTTGGTCGTATTTAACAGATAAATGTCGCTGGCACGAGACCCACCACTCCTGGCAGGGGGTGAAACACGCCCTTGGACTAAATGGGGAAAATCCGTAGGTGGTGACGTCATTCTGGCGTAATGGCCAGTGTTGCCATAGCAGTCATGTGGTTCCTGGCGCTTCAATTGTACAAAAATCCCCGCCATGGATATATCAAAGGCCACTCGCGATTTGATGGCGACCTTCCATGCAGAGATGAATGAGAATGAAGTTTTTAGGTAAGGATGTAGGCAGCTGTCAAACAGGGAGGTACTACCGCCTGGGAAGATATTGGAAGCATAATATGTTGTCTAATGGTAGACCCTACTGCGATATGCGACCAAGTCCCAGGTTGCTGATCTGACTTTCTGCCTCATTTACACACAATTGTAGGGTCTCAATTGTTTCTCTTTGACAGCACCACAGATACATAACCTATCACTCTTCATATCATTTATTTTTTATTTTCTGTGTTTAAGTTATATATTTTTTTTGCCCCCAGGCCCCGATGTGTATTGGTGATCTGTGCCCGGGTGGACTAATCCCCGTAAAAAAAGAGAGAAGGAGAAAAAAAAACACTACTAAGATGAAGGAACACGGTGCTTAACAGGCCTCGTGGGACCAAATGGACTACAACTGTCTCAACTCCGGTAAGCGCGCCAACATCAGTTATTTAGGTGTATGTAACTTATGAATCATTATTTTCAGAAAGACCATTGACCAGAACAGTTATCGTGACACACTTGGGCGTTTACTCTGCTTTATTTTGTTTTATTTGAAGTTATCCCTCGCATTAACCATTGTTTTCTTTGAAACTATCCCGCGTATTTACCGTCGTTTTCTTTGATATGTGAGAGGCATAACTAAGGGAGCTTTTTGTGTTTTATTTTACTCCAGTGAATAATGTACAACACGCTTATTAACTTACGCCCTGGGACCAGATTCTCAGCAGGATAGTACTATGAAAGGTTTATTTGCGCTAAAGGTCAAAATATTATAACAAAAGAGCAAATTTTAATTGATTCGGTTTAGTTTAGTTTTTTTTTCGTAAGTTGACAGATGTACCCAGATAAAGATAAATAAATGACGAATAAAAGATGGTGAATAAAAATCAGTCATAGGTAAATTTAGTGTGGCGAAAGTGGGAGAGGAGAATGATATCAGTCAGTGACGAAAGGCGTACCGTAGACTGTTATGGGGACGCGGAAAGTACCACAGAAAACAAGGGCTGAGGAACATACCGTAGATGTACTGCACGAGGATAATATCTACCAAGCCCATGATGATGAGCGAGATCCCGCTGGCCTGCCAGACGAAAAGCTCTGTCATGAAGACGCCTCCTTCAGTCACCATCAACAGACCACAAACAAACATTCCCAGGCACACTAGGGTCACCACCAGAGGCTTCTTCTTCCTCAGGTGTTGGAACTGATCAAAGATCCCCGTAGTGAGAGTCTCCACCATACAAAACTGAAGCAGCGAGTAGAGAGAGAGAGTTAATATAAGGATCGATGGTGTCTTGTCATAGTTCTCATCTCTATAAAGGCTTAACTTGGTTAGTGATTAGAAGGATGTATAAAGGGTTTGGTAAAGTAGTTGATAGTCTTTTGTTTTAGGGGGGGGGGTTAATCGACGTGATTCCAGTTCATATATAGGATAAAAGAGAGAATCTGCAACGAGACAGTGAAATTTTGCAACTATACAGAAAGAATCTGCAACTAAAAATGAAAATCATTGCAAGTACATGTGGATGGTGGGGGGGTTCTTCAACGATACATAAATATATTACTATTTCAGAATAAACTTATTGGAAACACTTAGGAGATATTTTGCAACTAAAGGAAGAAGATATTACAACTTCAGATTTTTTTTTCAGAAAGATGAAATGAGGTATTTTGAACTCAGTAATATTTAATTGGGGAGTACCTGAGTGTCCAGTCCAACAGTGATAAGCATAAGGAAGAAGACGATGGACCACACAGGAGAGTAGGGCATGCGATTGATGGCGGCCGGATACGCCACAAAGACCAGACCAGACCCCGACCTCACCACATCCTTCACTTCCACCCCGAGTTCGGTGGCCAGGAACCCGAGGATGCTGAAGATCACGAAGCCAGCAAACACTGACGACGCAGAGTTGGCGAAGGCGATGATGATGGCGTCCCTGTTGAAGACGTGGAGAAACAGAGAAACAGCCAGTACAGGGAGGGAAACAGAGAAACAGGTAGAGTAACAGAGAGACAAAGAAAACGAGAAGAACATGGACAGAAAGGATTATATATTCATTATAACATATAGCTTAGAATGGTCTTGGTTGAATTACCTTACTGTTTGTTTTTGTTTGTCTACCGCCACTATCTGTTTACATGTCGAAACATTGTGAAACGTATGATGATTTTACTGAATAAATATCTGTTTATCTACCCATCCATCTATCGAGCTATCTATCTATCTAATCTAGCCATGCGAGTTTGTTAAAGTTCCCCTTCCCCTCTTACGCCCTATCGTTTTCTGTAATCACACATACACGCACAGCCATGATTATGGTAGTCTTACCTCATGCAGTTGTTGTTAAACTTGTTGTACGACGCTAGAGTGATGAGACAGCCGAAGGAAGACCCAATAGAGTAAAATATCTGTGTGGCAGCGTCAGACCACACCTCTAACTCCATCAGGCGAGATATGTTAGGCTTGAGGAAGTAGTACTCGATACCGGTGTAGTAGCCCTCCAGTGTGACTCCTGAGTGACGCAGGTAAACAGTGTTGAAGTAGGAAGCATGAGTCTGGCTTTCATGTGTATTCCTCTATAAACTAAAGGCTTATTTCAAATATGGTGACAAATGGCACACACACACACACACACACACACACACACACACACACACACACACTATTACTACAACCTGGCCTCCATCCTTCCCCAAATAGCCATACCTTCGCCACCATTTTATTACCTTAATATTAAATATCCTAATACATAAGTAACTATCCTAGCTGTGTTGAGTTAGTTGAGCCGCCGATCTATGCGGCATTCAGTGACTGTTGCCTCGTAGTCAATATCTGCAACTGTTGTCGGCTTTGGGGCCGATGCTCTCGTTCCCCTGAGGCAGAGCAAAGCCGACCTAAGGAGAGAGAGAAGGACAGTCGACATCTCATCCAGGCTGTAACATAACTTCTAGGCTGCTGCTTCTGTTTGGAGATCACCTCTGCGAGTCTGGCGTAGAAGCATCTTGCACCTGGTCCCATCCCACCAGACGTTGTGAACACTAGAGGAGTGAAGCTGCCTTGGTCAACGTTCTGAATTCTCTCCCCGCATGCCCTTATCTTGTCGTTATCGTTCCCCCTGTGTGCAGCATCGAGAGCTAAGTTACGGTGACATGCGGCCATGGGATAAAAAATCTTGATGTCGAAGAAGGCTCGCTGTCCCCATGTCCAGAATTTTCGAGGCGCAAACGTCAACACAGGCTTCGTTGGATGTGTTTGAAGTCCTATGTTGGAAAGTCTCACCGTCCAATGGAAGGAGGGTCGGTTCTACCCTGACATCACTGCAGATTACCTTCAACATATTTGCTGTGAGATCCCTTATTTCGTCATGCCTCATGCATATGAAGCCCCCTTTCTTGCACACCGTGGCGTGATCGACGTCATAGGAAGAGCCACACACGCATTGGGAGGGCAAACCTTCCACTGGCCTACCGTACCTTAGAGCATTGGCATCTGTATATTCTTGTTTATTGAGACTGAAACCATTTGCCCTTATCGGTAACGTAGTTAACCAGTTCGAGGTGCCCACCTCCTGCGCTATAGCTACTTTCTTTTTCTTCAAATTTTCTGGTACTTGCAGCAACAGTTGCTGCAACTTATCACTTTGGCCGTGCTGTCGTTCTGTCGTAATGGACCTTCGAATCTTGTTTACTTCAGGTATGCACCTCCCCTGTTGGGTTCTGAGCTATTATGTGGTCCGTGTGGGCTGCCGTGAGCTTAACTGAGTTTTGATGTTCGGTGGCAGCAATCTCTTTTGGATTGGTCTATCCCATCCCTCCCAGTCTCGGTGGTAGTGCAAGGAGTGATCTTTCTGCTGGTGTTAAGTGAGGGTGTTTCACTAATTTGGGAATGAAATTGACGCTGATAGCTTCTTCCAGAGGGTGAAGGAGGGGTCCGATATCAGGCAAAGTGCGCATCAGGTAGTTCCAGTGATGCTTGACTCCATGGGTGAATGCCTCAAAAGTCGCATGTGGCTCTGTGTTAGCAATCTCAGACAGAGCTTGGATTTCCCTAACCTACTCATTCACCTTTCCCGTTACTTGCTCGTTCTTGAAATCCGTAGTGCCAATTACTGTGCCTAGGTGTCTTTGGCCATCTTTTGTTTTTTCGACCTCACTTCCACCGAACACCTCCATTGCCCGTTCATAATGTTCTGGCTTCACAATGAGGAAGGACTTGCTGATGTTTGGGTGGTACCCTATTTGTGGGCCTCATGATGGTACCAGGTCCTACCACTTTTTGATGTCCTCCACTTTTCCTGCTCCTGTAAGGTCGTCAGCGTACGCCACTTGCTTGACCTCATTTGTTTCAAATTTTATTACATGTTGGAGCACGGATAGGCCTATTGCGTACATTGCCATTGTAACAGGGTCCTCCTGCGTTGTACCCTCGGTTGACTGTATGATGATATCACCTCTTAGAGCCTTATTGTTTACTATATAAAGGTCTGATGGATTCCTATAGGAGTTTTCAACATACATTGCAAAGCTTGGACACTTGATCTTGATGTTGTGCATTGCGGCCTTGCGGTTAAGTATGTTGAATGCGTTTGAAGCGTCCACCAGGAGAACGGCCTCACAATCACGCTGCTCAAATATCGTTCTCATAGCGTGAATGGCAGCTTCCCCTCCAGCCTGGTGGCCAGCACAAACTTGCAGGTTCCCTGCAGCTGCCCTGACATCATCCTTTACCATCTCCATTATGCATTTTCCGATGATCCGCCTCAGCACTTTCCCCACCCCTATTGGCCTACATCCTGGATTCTTATCCAGGGGAATGAGGCGGCAGGCCGTCAGAACATGGAGGTGTTGGTAGCACGAGGATGCTAGCTTTCTTGCAAGGACGGCAATGCAGTACAGAGATCACTTGCTTCGGGGCCAAACTTGTTAGTGCTGAGGATGACTCTCCAACGGTTTGTATCCAGACCTGAAGGGCTGGCACCTCCCTGAGTCTTCAGTGCCTTTTTCCACACCATCCCTCCTGTTATTTTCTCGAACAAGACAGCATTTGGTGGGATATAGTCACCCTGGAACCTGATGCCTTCGTCTTCACTTGCAGGGGGATGTTTTTCTTTCAGTTGTTTTAATGTCTCTTTTTATTGGCAGAACCCCACCAGAGGATTCCTCTGTGAGAGATCTTACCACCGAAGACACTTTTCCCACACTCATTTTGTTTCCAAACTTTCTTGCAACGTCATCGGTGTTTTGCTTTCCGTCTCCTATAAATTTTAGTCTCTCCTGCAGTGTTCTTGCTTCACATAGGAGATCATCAAGGGCCCCATTCTGCCACATTGTCAATCTTCTCTTCATTGCTGCCGCATTTTCTTTGTGCTTAGTCTTTATGTGTGTCCTCTGACAGAAAAGATGTATTATTGCCAGTATTTGAAGAGCTAAAGAGGCAAGGAAGCCAGTATCCAGAAGGGTCCTGACATTCTATACAGCGGCCGTAAGAGGTTGCAAAGTTTATTTTTGTTTTGATCTGTGATTATGATTGTGTTTTCGACCACATAAAGATGATCTTACTGGGTGCGATTACCCAGACAAATTGGTTCTTTAGGCAGGCTATATTTAGGGCACCTTTTCTAGCCCCCTTCCCATGTTGGGTGAGCAGAGTGTCTCCTCGAAAGGGCTGCTCAGTCGCACAGACAGGACCGGATTACACTGCTGCCTAGATCCCAGTGCATAAACGACCATGTTATTTGTGCCGCCCATGTGCAGAGTTGTGACTAGAGACCCCTGGCTGTCATCTCTGCCTATTTCCGTCGCCACTCGTCCGTCGCCATAGGACTTTTGGGGGTATTGGGGTTTTAATTTTGATGAGGAGTATGATGAGCTGGATGATGGCTGCACTTGAGTTGATTTATGTGGTGAGGCAGGAGCGCAGGCTGCAGCCACACATCTTAGCTCTTCCAGTGGTGCAAGTTTTGCAACGACTGGGGTGAGGGAGAGTTGCAATGAACTGCCGATAGCCCAGTTTTTGGGTTTCGCCTTGGTAGCCTGTCCATCATGCATTGCCTTCATCCACCGGTATAGTAGTAAGGTTCCCATGGTGGTCACCTCTTCCACTTACACCGCCGTTGGGGTCTTGTTGGAGCTCTGTAAGCATGTCTGCTAGATGCTGAACTCCACCGCAGAATTTTCGTTCAGGGTTTACTCCTGTAGCCTTATATCTGCCAAGGTTAATCCACAAGGTAACGAGGCAGTGGTTGGTAGGCACCTTTATGTGTCCACATGCCACTGGGCCTATGCGCCGTCCCTCTGGGGCCCACTGCTACTTCAAGATTCCCTGGTGATCTAGCCTGGGCTCACGAGGCACCCAGTTACCGTGTGTTGCCACGAGGAGACACAGCAGGAGTCTTCATGATGAGAGGCTGTGTACTGGCAGGGGAAGACTTATGCAATTTGCTTTTCTGTTCGCCATGAGGGCTATCCAGCGGCGGTAGGTGAAAGCGAGAGGAAGCAAACAGTTCTCAGCATGCACCTTAACACTAACAAAGCAGTTCTTTGCTTGCACCTTAACACTAACATAATGCTGCCACACTAGAAGCATTACACCACTCTGTGCACACACACACACACACACACACACACACACACACACACACAAATTTACCGCGAATGAGGAGGATGACCATCACGACATACGGGAAGGTGGCAGTGAAATAGACCACCTTTCCTGTACTCTTCACTCCCTTGATGAGACAGGCGCCCACGATGAACCAAGCCAGTGCCAGACAGCCCACCAGCTCCCAGCGTAACCCTCCCATGTTCTCCCAGCTCCTCTCAGTCATTGCCAGCACCCTGTTCCTGTAGAGTAATAGAAGAGGTATTAACTCTCATACAACTGTGGTATATTAAAGGTATTATGTCATTATTAATGGTATAAGTTATCGTACTCAAAGGGTAAAATTATCGTACTTAAAGGGTAATATTATCGTACTCAAAGGGTAATGTTATCGTACTCAAAGGGCAATGTTATCATACTCAAAGGGTAATGTTATCGTACACAAAGGGTAATGTTATCGTACTCAAAGGGTAATGTTATCGTACTCAAAGGGTAATGTTATCGTACTCAAAGGGTAATGTTATCGTACTCAAAGGGTAATGTTATCGTACTCATGGGGTAATGTTATCGTACTCAAAGGGTAATGTTATCGTACTCAAAGGGTAATGTTATCGTACACAAAGGGTAAAGTTATCGTACTCCTGATTTATATACTGTACAGCCCCGTAAATGTATTGAATGCATATCATTATGTCTAAATCAAATGTAAGTTTGTATATTTTCAGCCACCGGCTGCAACTCTATTAATAAACCGTTGATTATTATTATTATTATATTATTATTATTATTATTATTATTATTATTATTACTCTCTCTCTCTCTCACTGTAAATAGTCTTCAGCAGCAGATATTTTCCTGATGGCACTATTAGCACTCAAGATGGTGGTGGTGGTGTTGAGTGGATCCTGACAGTGGGTCTGGTTGTGCTCCACGAGGCCGGCCACGTGGCAGTAGTCGCTGACGCTGACGCAGGTCTTGTTGTAGTAGTAGAGAGACTGGTTCTTGCAGGGGGCGGCATCAAGCTCCGTGAAACACACTACGGAGTATTAAAATGGTGTCATGTATATTCGGTGAAGAGGCATGCCTCCAGTTACACTTGGGTATGATTGATTGAGTTTTTGAATTATTGCAAGCATCGTAATGACAATTCGTTGAAACAGAAAGACCCTCAAAAGTTTGCCTGTGCTGTTTGCACTTCTAAGTCCTGGTATATCTTGTTCATGTAGAAAAAATATGCTACAATATTAGAACACACACACACACACACACACACACACACACACACACACACACACACACACTACATCCCTGACCACCGTGGGGTCAAGACCTATTCCGGCGCTGCTCCTGAGCAGCGGCCCCCCTTGGCCAATGTTCTGCCCATTCCCCAAGTCCCTCTCCCCGACCCATCCTCACCACCGGGATATCAACATAATCAAAAGTGACAATTTCGTTTCGGAAAGAAGTGGGAGCAGTGTTGAACAGTGATGAACAGTGTTAAAGCCAATAAATTCAGCACTAGACAGTACCAGTGAGAACCATGACCCACCAGTGAGATAAGCACCCTTGGGAACTGACCGCCATCTTCTGACAAGGAGCTGCTAATCAGTCCACCATGGGAACAACAGAGGGTCGGCTTCACACCTGACTTCGAAATAACACAACACCACCCAGTAGGGTGAGGTACTGTGCCACCACCCCACACCACCCGGTGTCCCCATAACTACTTGAGGTCCTTCATATCAACACCCGAGGACGAGTTACTGCACCACGTGAACACCACACCACCCGGTGTCCCCATGACCACGGGAGGTATTTCATATCAACACCCGAGGACGAGTTACTACACCACGTGAACACCACACCACCCGGTGTCCCCATGACCACGGGAGGTATTTCATATCAACACCCGAGGACGAGTTACTACACCACGTGAACACCACACCACCTGGTGTCTCCATGACCAGCCCACGCCCGGGCCATCAACTGTAAACTGTAATAATTTGTATGTTCAATCATTGTTCCTTCTCCTTTCAGTAATGAAAGCTTTTGTTAAACAATCCACCCACCCCATGTCTTTGTATGTAATAAGTCATTTTTGTCCAATGTATATTTTCAGACTTCGGGCTGCCAACTTTTTCAATAAACCGTTTATTATTATTATTATTATTATTATTATTATTATTTACAGACACACAGAATCCTTATCACTTAGCCACTGCGGTGTCTTTTATCTCAAATTCAACAACAATTTCTGACCTCACTAGGGGAAAGGTCACGGCAGGGTTAGCTCCCGAGGGATAATTATCAGATATGGCCAGCGCTATGTGCGGTCTTGGTTGTGCGAGTTTGTTGACCAAACTGGAGTGGTCCATGGAAGAATTGGCGAGGGCCAAGGAAGAAATTGAGAGGGCCACGTTGGAGAACCTGAAATTAAAGGAAGAGCTGGCGAGGCTAAAAGGGGAGGCTGGACAGGGAAAGCCAGTATCTGACGAAAACTCAAGCGCGTGGAAGATTGTGAGGAGTGGGAGGACCAAGCTGGTGGTGAAGAAGTGCACCAAGCATACGACAACAACGACAACAACAGCTAAGTGTACCAACTCGTTCAGTCCCTTGATAGACGAATTGGACGTTAGTACAGTCAGGGACAGGGATGACAAGGAAGGTATAAAAACTTTAATTGTTGGTGACTCACAGGTAAGGTACTTGGACAGGGCCTTTTGTGGTAAAAACAAAAATAGGATGAGGGTGTGTTTGCCAGGAGCTGGGGTGGGAGATATAATTGAGAGGATGGACAATATCTTGTCTGGTAATGGGAACAAACCCATTATCTGCCTCAGTGCAGGAGGCAATGATATTGGCCGGTGTAGGAGCGAGGAGCTTCTTGATAAGTTCAAGGCAGCTATAGATCGTATTAGGTCTAAGGGAGGGATCCCTATCATATGCTGTGTCCTGCCTAGAAGGAGAGTTGGCAGTGAATGGTTGTCAAGGGCGGTTGGTGTCAACGACCGTCTTGACAGATATTGCAAGTCAATATCTGTCCCATTCATTGACAACTGGGACAACTTCTACGGCAGAAGGGACCTTTATGCTAGGGATGGGGTGCACCTGTCTCGGGATGGGGTGGCAACCCTGGCTGGGTCTCTGGAGGGGACAGTTCAAAGGATATCGAAGTCTTTAAACTGTTAGGGGAACATATGGGCACGGGGGTGGGGGAAACTGCAGTGGGAGCAGGTAAACAAAGTAAAAGATTACAGGGAAATAGTGTTAGGAATGATGACAAAACTAAATTAAAAAGTGAGTTTAAAACTAAACGCTGTAAAGGGAGGACTCAGAACACGACTAACTTAAATGTCTACCACGCGAACAGTAGAAGTATGAGAAACAAAATGGATGATATTAGGGCCTTGGTATGTACCGAAATAATCGATATAATAGCATTCACTGAAACATGGATCAACCTAGACTCACGTGAGTTGCCGGTCGAATACCAAATTGCGGGTTACAAATTGTTCCATACCGATAGGCAGACCAGGAAAGGAGGCTGAGTAGCAATCTATGTTAGGGATAATCTGAAGTGTGAAATAAATAAGGAAATAAAAACTGAGCGGATTACAGAAACAATCTGGATAGAATTAATCGACGGTAGGGAAAAATTAATCACAGGAGTAATATATAGACCTCCCAATCTTGATAGAGTCAATGAGCGACTTATCTGGGATGAAATGCACAGGGCTTCCATACACAACAAAGTCTGTATAGTAGGCGACTTTAACCTTGGCCAAATAGATTGAACTGACCTTACAGGTAACTCAGAATCAGAGGATTTTCTCGAGATGATCCAGGACTGTTTCCTAAGTCAACATATAACCGAACCCACACGGGGTAATAATATACTCGATTTAGTTCTGTCGAACAGAGAAAACCTCATTAGCAATGTCGAGGTAGGGAACGAACTTGCAAACAGCGATCACAAAGAAATTAGATTCCAGTTAGATTGTCAGGGCAGACGTAAGGAAAATTCCACTAAAGTACCAGATTTCAGAAGGGCAAACTTTGACAGTTTAAAAATGCAGCTGAGAGAGGGGGTGTCGCGCTTGGCCGTGAACTTGACAGATGACTCCGACCTGATAACGAGATCTGAGATTGCCGAGTTCCTCGACAATTTAAATAATGAGTTACTTAATGCACAAAGGCAGAACATACCATACAAAAAGCTCAGATCAGACAACAATGACCCTAAATGGATAATTAATTATTTAAAGAACATCATTGGCCAAAGGAAGGCTATAGGTAGAAGGATAAAGCGTGGCGAAATTTACCTCCACGATTATTACAAGATATTGGCGAGTAGGGTTAAAACCGAGATAAGGAAAGCCAAGAGGAATAATGAGGTAAGGATAGCAAGGGAGACGAAGACAAACCCCAAAGGATTCTACCAAATGTTTCAAACTAAAACACGAGAAAAGATTGGACCAATACGGTCAGATACCGGATAGCTAACTGATAACGACGGAGAAATAAGCAATAATTTAAATAAATATTTTTCAACAGTTTTCACCACCGAAAATTTAAACAAGATACCCGAGGCACCGACTCTATTCAGAGATAGAGAAGAAAACAAATTAAGCGAGATAGTAGTGACTAGTAACAATGTTAGCAAGCAAATAGACAAACTAAAGCCTAATAAGTCACCTGGTCCCGATGAGATATTTGCCAGAGTATTAAAGAAATGTAAGGAAGAGCTTAGTATGCCCTTAGCAAAGTTGTTTAACATGTCCTTAAAAACAGGAGTAGTACCAGAATCCTGGAGGATAGCGAATGTAATACCGATTTTCAAGAAGGTGGATAGATCACTATCCTCTAACTACCGCCCAATCAGTCTAACATCAATAGTAGGCAAATTACTGGAAGCAATCATTTCAAACTCTATTCGAAATCACCTGGAGAAGCACCGATTGATCAATGATTCCCAGCATGGCTTCACAAGCGGACGTTCTTGTCTAACTAATCTATTAACATTCTTTTCATCAGGTTTCGAATCGGTGGACGAGGGGCACAATTATGATGTGGTATATCTCGACTTTAGCAAAGCCTTCGACAGAGTCCCCCACGAAAAAATAATTAGAAAGGTAGAAGCACATGGCATCAAAGGTAGCATCCTTAAATGGATTAGGGAGTGGTTACAGGACAGGAAACAGCGAGTGAGCATTAACGGCACTAAGTCCCATTGGAGCAACATCACAAGTGGAGCTCCCCAAGGCTCAGTACTTGGACCATTATTATTTATTATATACATAAACGACATAGATATCGGCATAGACAGCAACATAAGTAAATTTGCTGATGACACTAAAATAGGACGTGTTATTAAATCTGACGAGGACTCCTCAAAACTACAGGAAGATCTAAACAAATTTTTCGAATGGTCTTAAAAATGGCAGATGAAATTCAACGTGGACAAATGTAAAGTACTCAGTATAGGAGATGTAAACAGGGAAACCAGATACCAGATGAACAACGATGCCATAGAGAAATCCGACTGCGAGAGAGATTTAGGAGTAATGATATGTAGGAACCTTAAGCCAAGTAAACAATGTGTTTTTGCTCGTAACAAGGCTAATAAAGTACTTGGGTTCATACAAAGGAGTGTTAGTTACAAGACTAGCGAGGTCATCCTAAAACTGTATCTTGCGCTTGTGAGACCACACCTGGATTACACAGTTCAGTTCTGGTCACCGTATTACAGAATGGATATAGAATCATTGGAAAGAATTCAGAGGAGAATGACAAGACTAATCCCGGGCATTAGGAACCTTGAGTATAGAGACAGGTTAAAGCATCTTAATTTGCACTCCCTCGAGAGACGTAGAGCGAGGGGCGACCTGATAGAGAAGTGGAAGTCAGGGCTAAACAAAGGGGACATTACAAAGGTACTCAAACTATCCAACCAGGAGCGAACTCGTAACAATGGTTTTAAATTAGACAAATTTAGATTTAGGCGTGAAATAGGTAAACACTGGTTTGGAAACAGAGTAGTGGATGAATGGAACAAGTTACCAAATATCATCATTAACTCGAATACGCTGAATAGCTTCAAACATAGGTTGGATGCTTATATGAGCAATAGGGGTTGGGTGTAAACGGGACTGCCCAGTATGGGCCAATAGGCCCGCTGCAGTTTCCTCCATTCTTATGTTCTTATGTTCTTAATTAAAGGACTTTACTCACTTGGGGAGTTGAAGTCATTAGTGCAGTTTCCCCAGGGCAAAACACTGCTGAAGGAGGCGAACATGTAGAAGAGAGTCCAGGCGAGGATGACGTTGTAGTAGATGGCGACCAATGTACACAACACCACCATACCCCAGCCGAGACCTGATGAAGGTATACCCGGAAATTAACACACACTAAACTAGATAACTCAATATTTGTTTGTCTTTGTGTATGCTGTATAGGTTGAGTGAGTAATGTTATCTGTTAGTTCACTGTATGGATTGGATGTTGGAGGGTAAGAGGGAAGAGGGTAGTAGGGAGGGAGGGGTAGTAGGGAAGGAAGAAAGGAGAAGAAGAATAGAGGAAGGGTAATAGCGAGAGAAGGAAAGAGAATAGGAGAAAAAGAGGAAAGCACGAGAGGGTTAGCATTCCATCTAGCTACCTACCCCTACCATCCTAACGTATGGGTTTCTGAGTGTGGAAGCATCAAAAGAGGAGACTTGGTGTTAGTGTATGGATCTGGAGTCTACGGCTAGAACACATGGCTATATGGTACTTACCTGAGAAGATAGGAGACAGCTTGGGGAAGAGAGCGACGGGGCTAAGGCTGACATATTGACCCAAAACAAACTCCAGGAAGAACATGGGGATACCGGTCACCAGGAGCATTGTGACGTAGGGGATCAGGAACACCGCTGGGGATGATAATATTTTTATTTGGCTTTAAACCAGTGTGTGTTGGTATTTACATGTGAATTATGCCAAATTTCATTCATAAAATCATAATTCTGTGACCTACAAAATATTATGTAGGGGTTTTTATTTAATAGTTTAGAGGGTTTTTTTTAGGATTTAAGATAATTTATTTATTTATTTATTTTTTTTAGATTTGTAGGAATATTACCTACGCGGACCTAAAGCTAAAATGCTGGTCCACCCATAATTTAATCGTGCGAAGGAATTTATATTACCAACGCAACCCTTTGTACTCGCTGCCAGACGTATAAGCGGTTCCGGCACTTTTTTTTTTTTAGTTTAACAAATTTATTGACAAAGCTTGTAGTACAGTTTGCCTATTCTGAGTAATTCAGTCAGGTCTTGACACTGAGGGTGGTATCACTTCTCACTGCCACGCAGGACAGAGGTTCATACACAAAGAAATACATCATATTCATTAACAGCTATAAATGTATAGAGGTCAGATTCATGTGGGTAATGTCACTGTTCACTGCCATGCAGGACAGAGGTTCGTACACAAAGAGATGCATCTTATTCATTGACAGTACATATACATATATATACACACACACATACATATATATATATATACATATACATATATACATATACATATACATATATATGCTGATAACCACAAGGAAAGAAGAAAACACGAAGTTCCCAAGCGCTTTAGTGTAATTCACATCTTCAGGAGTGAGTACAGACTGTACTCACTCCTGAAGATGTGAATTACACGAAAGCGCTTGGGAACTTCGTGTTTTCTTCTTTCCTTGTGGTTATCAGCATATACGTAGATCACGCGCACCTACAGTGATTTACTTGCATACATATATATACACATATACATACATACATACATACACACACATACACACACATACATACTTATACGTAGGTCAGATTCATGTGGGTAATGTCACTCTTCACTGCCATACAGAACAGAGGTAAACTTTGTGATAAACCTCTAAAGCATACACTTGAACACTATATTATTGAATGTGACACTGTCAAAGACTTCAGGCCACCTGACTTATTGTATCTTGAACTATGTAATTACTACATTGAATCAGGTGTGCTTGAGGACATTCTTCTGTTTATCCCAAATTTGCCAGCCCACACTGATTAGTCTTCAATTAGAATATGACTCCAATGTATGTGATCCACTGACCTATATATACTGCTAATGAATATGATGTATTTCTTTCTTTCTTTGTGTACGAACCTCTGTCCTGCGTGGCAGTGAACAGTGGCATTACCCACATGAATCTGTAATGAGACAAAATCTCACATGAAGAGAATGAATATATATAAGTAGGAAGTATAGAGAGTAGGAATGTAAAGATAGGAAACTTGGTAGCGTGGCCTGGATGTTATTTGCACAGCGTCACTACGCTTATCTTATCTCGTATGTCAATACACATATATCACTTCTTAAAGGGACAACTTGTTAAACACCTCTTGATACAACTATTTATTACTTCACTCAATGACATGGACACATTAATATCACTATTATATCGGGGTACTAACACATTATGCTTTACGTTACTTGACACTGACTCTCGGACACACCTGAATGAATACACTTCCCACAGTAGGTAACTCACCCTAGGACGTTCTGACAAGACTCACGTGTACCCTGACGTAGGCCCAGTGAGTGCTGGCTGGGCTGCCTCCTATGGGAGAGTCTGCTTAGCTGGCGATGCCGTGGTCTGGTCGGGAGGTCTCCCTCCCGACCTTGGGAGGGGACGTGCGTGACTCTGCTTAGTGAACCGAGTGACGACCCGAACGGGAGAGAGATGACAGCAACCAGAATGAGAATCAGTATGACCAGGATCAGAATGATAATCGTAATGCTCGTGGACGGGACTGTAGGGCCTTTATATGGGGTCGGCCCAGCCGGCTTCTGACCTCTAACAATTAACACTAAACTGGTTTGATCTGGATAGTTGTGTGCAGGTGTGGTCCTGGCCAGGTGTCTTGGCTAGGTGCGGTTGTAGGTCACCCGGCTCACGTCATTAGCGGGCGAGGTCAAGTCCCTTGGGTCGACCTGAGGTGTGTCAACCCGGAATGTGGTGGTACCACGAGGTCTGCAGTGCTCTTGCTGTTAATGCGGCATAATTCTGGGCTGTAAGGTTTGGTCTGACAATCACTCATTACACCTCCCGCCAAGACCAAAGCTTCATCACAGAGACTGATGCCACATATAGACAGCAACATCACGTGTGGTGTCAAAGATAATCCCTGGGGCGATAACATAGTCTCACATTTACAAACAACAATCTCATAGGTGTATGTTTTTCTACTGGCGCTAGTTTGATCTGACAAAGCTCACTATACCTCCCGCCAAGATCAAAGCTTCTATGCCAGGAGAAACAGGAAACATAGCAAGTGAACATAGAATGAAAAAATCCTTCATATGTAGCATAGTGTCCGAGGCAACCTTGCAAATCACATTCTACAAACAATAACAGGTGTTACATTTCCTTATCAGCCCATGTCAAAATAATAATTCATCTCAGTCAGTAATATAGCTACAACATCGTGTTTCATAGTCCAAGACATTGATCAAATGAACTCATAGAAAAAAGTGAGACTAAAAAAAAGACATTCTTTGTAGTAAACATCAACAAAATCAGAGAAAATACTTCAAAACACACAAAAAATGTTCCTACTTCACATCTTAGGGTATTGATATCTTTTTATTATACATCAACAACATCAGTACATTAGTTGGGTCCGGCATAGCTCACGTCTTCCATCCAGCTGGTATCTGAAAAATAGGGGATGGCGGCAGCTCAGCAGCTGTAGTCGGTTGGTCCTTCATCATCGACTTTCTTGTGATGTCAGGACAGCACATCTTCTGTCTTCTTTCTTCACATAGCACATCTTCTGTCTTCTTTCTTCACATACCGCACCTTCTAGGTCGTTTCTCCACACCTTCTGACTTCTTCTCACTTCCTCCTGGTTTCTATACTATTCCAGACGAGTTTTCTGTCCCATCTGCGTTCTTCCTCTACGTTTAGAGCCTCATTTTCAACGTCTTCTAGATGAATTTTCTGTTCCATCTTCCTTTTTTCTTAGTACATCATCATTTTCATATTCCAGACGAATTTTCTGTTCATCTGCGTTTCTTTATACATCTTCATTTTCATATTCCAGACGAATTTTTCTGCTCATCTGCGTTTCTTTATACATCTTCATTTTCATATTCCAGATGAATTTTTCTGCTCCATCTGTATTTCTTCTCTGCAACATCATCATTTTCAACATATTCCAGACGATTTTCTGTTCATCTGCCGTCGGCCCCCTCCGGCCGGGATGAAGGCCGGTCCACTGCTTGGGCTGTCGTCTCCTTAGATGACTCGTAAGGCAGGTTCCGCGGACCAGGGCTCGCCCTCCGTACGTGAGTGTCGGCGAGACCAAAGACCGTCCTGTCTTACACCTTCCACAGTGGTGAATCCCTCCCTGGCTGGGCTCACCAGGGTTCGTTGTGTGGCGATCCATTCCACACTCCTTAACTTCCTAAAGTAGAAAAATATAAAATCTTCTTAATCCTAGACCAAGGGAGGACTTGAAAGAAGTGACGTGGTGTGTGGTGGGTTTCGTGCTGCCTTCATCAAGCTGCATTCATCACGCTGCTTTCATCATGCTGGTTCTTCTCTGCTCGTATGTACTGTGGTTGACGTCCGGCTGGCCATGGGTGGTACTGTGAGTGACATTTGACAGAGAAACAATCCTAAAGGGATGATGGATCAGTTGGAAGTGCATTCGCAAAAAAAAAATTCACTTCAAAAGATTCTAACTATCACTGTACTGAACACTAAGGGGAATAGGCGTGAGTTCTTACGTTAAGTGCGCTGCCACCATTGTAATGAGACAAACACAATGAGAGGAAGAATATATATATAAGTAGGAAGTATAGAGAGTAGGAATGTAAAGATAGGAAACTTGGTAGCGTGGCCTGGATGTTATTTGCACAGCGTCACTACGCTTATCTTATCTCGTATGTCAATACACATATATCACTTCTTAAAGGGACAACTTGTTAAACACCTCTTGATACAACTATTTATTACTTCACTCAATGACATGGACACATTAATATCACTATTATATCGGGGTACTAACACATTATGCTTTACGTTACTTGACACTGACTCTCGGACACACCTGAATGAATACACTTCCCACAGTAGGTAACTCACCCTAGGACGTTCTGACAAGACTCACGTGTACCCTGACGTAGGCCCAGTGAGTGCTGGCTGGGCTGCCTCCTATGGGAGAGTCTGCTTAGCTGGCGATGCCGTGGTCTGGTCGGGAGGTCTCCCTCCCGACCTTGGGAGGGGACGTGCGTGACTCTGCTTAGTGAACCGAGTGACGACCCGAACGGGAGAGAGATGACAGCAACCAGAATGAGAATCAGTATGACCAGGATCAGAATGATAATCGTAATGCTCGTGGACGGGACTGTAGGGCCTTTATATGGGGTCGGCCCAGCCGGCTTCTGACCTCTAACAATTAACACTAAACTGGTTTGATCTGGATAGTTGTGTGCAGGTGTGGTCCTGGCCAGGTGTCTTGGCTAGGTGCGGTTGTAGGTCACCCGGCTCACGTCATTAGCGGGCGAGGTCAAGTCCCTTGGGTCGACCTGAGGTGTGTCAACCCGGAATGTGGTGGTACCACGAGGTCTGCAGTGCTCTTGCTGTTATATGCGGCATAATTCTGGGCTGTAAGGTTTGGTCTGACAATCACTCATTACAAATCTGACCTATATATAGTGTCAATGAATATGATGCATTCTTTGTGTACGAACCTCTGTCCTGTATGGCAGTGAACAGTGGCATTACCCACATGAATCTGACCTATATATAGTGTAAATGAATATGATGCATTCTTTGTGTACGAACCTGTTCCGGCACCAAGCTATGATGAAACTCTCGTACAGTTGTGTTTATGGTTTTACTCAATGGGTAACATACCAAATGACGTTAAGCTGTGTTAGGAGAGGATGACGTCCAAGAGAAGCCTCATACCTCATTTCCCTTCATCTCCATTAAAGGGAATAAGAATTACTTTATATTCACCACAGAAAGAAATTTACCTTCTAAGATATGACTCTACCTCCGCTGTTAGACATGGAAATTTTGTATACAGTTCAACTCTCGTGTCCAGCTTCGACTTTATTATTGTAATTTTAAATATGCGTTTTCAGACAGTGATGATGATGATGATGATGATGATGATGATGACGTATTACTTGGAATATGTGTTTGCATTACAATAGAATTCTTCGTAACAGAGTGTCGTCGGGAAAATTTAAATCATTAGAAAGATTCGCTCAAATTCTACATCAATTGCAGAGTCGAATTTGTGTGTGTGTGTGTGTGTGTGTGTGTGTGTGTGTGTGTGTGTGTGTGTGTGTGTTCAAGGTGACGGAGAAAGTGAAAGCTTAAAATAGTTTCGAAAATCTTAGAGAGGGATGAAGTCGAGACAATGGAGCGATAGTTAGAGGGATTAGAATGGTCAACCTTCTTCGGGATGGGATGAACCGAGGCATGTTTCCAAGAAGAAGGACACTCGCCCAGAACACGGAAGGGTATTCCATCTGGAACGTGCGTCTTACTCACATCCAGATTGGATAACGCACCAGCAACCGTGCGAGTGGAGATTTTAGGAAAGTACACAGGTTCAGTAGGAGGAGCAGGAGTAGGAGGGATAGAGTTGGAATCGTCTAAGGTGGAGTTAGAGGAGAATAAGGTGTCAAAGAGATTGGCTTTATTAGGGGGAGAGTTGGCTATAGATTTATCAGGTCGGGAAAGAGGGAGTGCAGAAGTTATTACAGGTGTGTTTGGTTAAGGACCAGAAGGATTTATTAGAAGAAGAGTTAGTCAGGACAGCGGTCTTTCTTTTTATAAAATTCCGCTTGGCCCTACGAAGAATAACATTACAACGATTCCTAGAAGTAATGAAAGAGGAGTGGGTAAAAGGAGGAGATAGTTTCATAACTCGATATGCCCTATCTCTCTCTCTCCCTGCATACAAGAGAGCAGGAGCTACCAAACCATGATTGTAAAGTAAAAGTTTTGGTAGAAGATGGGATAAATGCACTCATACCATCTTGTATAACCCCAGCAATGTTGTCAGCACATACCGAGGCGTCCCGAGTGGAAAAGCAACATTCATCCCAGAGAAAGTCGGAGAAGAATTCTCGCAAGGACTGCCAGTGTGTCCTCCGATAGTGCCATAGTTGGCGTTTAGAGGGGGGTGGGGGAGGTGGTCGTACCCAGTTTGATTTAATAGAAATAAGATTGTGATCATTATGTCTAAATCAAATGTAAGTCTGTATATTTTCAGCCACCGGCTGCAACTCTATTAATAAACCATTTATTATTATTTTTATTTTTATTATTATTATTAAATTGAGTATGAATAGCGTGAGGGGTTAGAGGTAAAACAAAGATCAAGAATGTTAGCAAGTTGATCGTGTCTATCTGGAACACGTGTAGGGTGTTTAATTATTTGATCCAGATCATTAAGTTAGGAAAAAGAGAGTGCCTCGGCTCCACCTGGGTCATCCCTTACAGAGCCAAGCCACCCTCTGTGATGTACAGTCACGTTCAAGATTCTTAGAACACTCCTGGAGACAGCTGGCAACTCAAGACCGTAGTAAAAATTATGAATAAATGTAAAAGTGATCGGTGATTGGTTACTTAGTTCCCCGTTGCTTAATTAATGGTTGGGCTTTGTTGTTTCGCATTATATTATGCCTTTCTGCTAGTATATACTGTTAATTTGATTTTAAAATGGATAGAGCAATGAGCCAACCTATATGAATTTATATTTAGATAAATAAACATAAGTAAAAATCGGTAAGTATGTTAAAGAACATCATGCATCGGGCACAGCTGTGTGTAGGCTGCTTATGAGGTTGCCTGTTTATCATTAATTTATACTAATATTGTCTTCAAACGTTTAATCCCTTTATAGTAATTAATCTAATTGTATCTAACCGATGCTAAACAAAACTTCTTTCTTAAGACGCTGATTTCTTGCAACACAAACTGCTGTTTTACTTCCCTGTGTACAGTATGTGTGCGCGCATGTGGAGTGTGTGTGTGTGTGTGTGTGTAATAATAATAATAATAATAATAATAATAATAATAATAATCTTGAACGTGACTGTACATTGATATCCCCAGGTAGAGGATCTCGGTGTTGGGGTTGTGTGGATAGCAATGACTCATGGCAAGAAGTGAGATAGTCAAAGAGTTCCAGATAGTTGGTATAGTTGGGAGAACAGTATAGGAAACGAAGAAAAATAGTCATAGTTGGTGGAGATATTTTGAGCAAGATGACATCATAAAGGGAAGATTCAAGATCCATGAGTCGAGCTATACTGGAGGTGTACGTGTGTTGCAGTAGACATCAATGACGACATGAAATAGAGAACAGACATGAAATAGAGAACAGACATGAAATAGAGAACAGCCATGAAATAGAGAACAGACATGAAATAGAGAACAGCCATGAAATAGAGAACAGCCATGAAATAGAGAACAGCCATGAAATAGAGAACAGACATGAAATAGAGAACAGCCATGAAATAGAGAACAGACATGAAATAGACATGAAATAGAGAACAGACATGAAATAGAGAACAGACATGAAATAGAGAACAGCCATGAAATAGAGAACAGACATGAAATAGAGAACAGCCATGAAATAGAGAACAGCCATGAAATAGAGAACAGCCATGAAATAGAGAACAGACATGAAATAGAGAACAGCCATGAAATAGAGAACAGACATGAAATAGAGAACAGCCATGAAATAGAGAACAGACATGAAATAGAGAACAGCCATGAAATAGAGAACAGCCATGAAATAGAGAACAGCCATGAAATAGAGAACAGCCATGAAATAGAGAACAGACATGAAATAGAGAACAGCCATGAAATAGAGAACAACCATGAAATAGAGAACAGACATGAAATAGAGAACAGCCATGAAATAGAGAACAGACATGAAATAGAGAACAGCCATGAAATAGAGAACAGCAATGAAATAGAGAACAGCCATGAAATAGAGAACAGACATGAAATAGAGAACAGCCATGAAATAGAGAACAGCCATGAAATAGAGAACAGCCATGAAATAGAGAACAGACATGAAATAGAGAACAGACATGAAATAGAGAACAGACATGAAATAGAGAACAGCCATGAAATAGAGAACAGACATGAAATAGAGAACAGCCATGAAATAGAGAACAGCCATGAAATAGAGAACAGCCATGAAATAGAGAACAGACATGAAATAGAGAACAGCCATGAAATAGAGAACACAATGAAATAGAGAACAGCCATGAAATAGAGAACAGACATAGAGAACACATGAAATAGAGAACAGCATGAAATAGAGAACAGACAGAACATGAAATAGAGAACAGCCATGAAATGAAATAGAGAACAGACATGAAATAGAGAACAGACATGAAATAGAGAACAGACATGAAATAGAGAACAGCCATGAAATAGAGAACAGACATGAAATAGAGAACAGCCATGAAATAGAGAACAGCCATGAAATAGAGAACAGCCATGAAATAGAGAACAGACATGAAATAGAGAACAGACATGAATTAGAGAACAGTGATGAAAACTTCCATGTTGGAGTTATCGGTCTTTTGCATCAGCCAGCAAGTAAATACACACGATGATACTTGAGCAGTAATTTATCTAAACCTAACAATAAGGTATGCCTGTGTATGTCAACATTGTATATGGCCACAAGTCCTGCATTCCTCGGCGGCTTGAGCTAGTATGTGACGTCACAACCAATCACAGAGCTTTTCGCAGTCACGTGACTTTTTAGCTTCTTAAAACCCTTATTCTTTACCATAATGAATTTAAGCGTCTTGTTTACCCATTGACCTGCCACCTTTCGAAACAATTCCGACCGTCAACTCGCCCCTTACACTAGACTACACACACACTTTATCTTATTTTTTCTATGTACAGTTCTTGTTAGGTCGTCATTCCCAATAACATCACGTAGAGAGAAGTTCGTACTGATGATTACAATAGCCACGAGTATTGTAATGTTTAGTACAATATTAAAATAAAGAAAAAAAGTATTGCGTACACGACATTGTCTGACAGTGATTTCGTTGTTTTTCGTTTATTATTGTGACTGACGGTTCCCACACTTGTTGTTTTAGGAATAGAATGAGAGAGAGAGAGAGAGAGAGAGAGAGAGAGAGAGAGAAGACATTACTCACCTCCACCGTTTTTGTAACAGAGATAAGGGAACCTCCAGATATTGCCGAAACCTAGAGCATAGCCGAGGCAGGAGAGGAAAAACTCAGAGTAGCTTTCCCAATTATCTCTCTCGTTTTCCTCTTTCTCCTGTAACTTTATCGTTGTTGTCGTGCTTATTTCCTCTTCCGGTGACTCAACCATTGCTGTCGTCTTCATTATTCCCCTAACTCCTTCCTTATCTTCTTCCTCTTCTCTAGTGACTCCTACCTCCTCTTCTTCTTTCTCCTCTTCCTCTTCTCCACTAACGACACCGACCGTCCTCGTCAACCACCTCACCTGCACTGGCCCTTCTTATGTGACCTGTGAATTAATTTCTTGAAACATTAAACGTGAGGTATATTCTTGTCAATGCTCCGTGATTTTGCTCTTTTCCTAAATTCATGGCCTCCTTACCTTCCCTACCTTCCTCCTACCTTCTCTCCCTTCATCCTGCCTTCCCTACTTTCCCTACCTTCCTCCCTGCTATTCCCCTAATACGCTCCATTATCCTCCCTGCCCACCCCCTTCACCCTTACACAACCCAGATGACATCAGCGACAGGGTGAGTGTGAGTCACCATTAACCTGCGTTCACTTATGAAACCCTTGCAACACACAAAGAATCAGATCCACGAAAACACCATCAGCATAACAACACCATCAGCACCACAACACCCATCAGCACCACAACAACACTATCAGCACCACAACAACACTATCAGCGCCACAACACCAACACCATCAGCACCACAACAACACTATCAACAACACTATCAGCACCACAACACCATCAGCACCACAACAACGCCATCAGGCAACAACACCATCAACAACACCATCAGCACCACAACAACTATCAGCACCACAACACCATCAGCACCACAACAACACAGCACACAACAACAACACTATCAGCACCACACACCATCAGCACACAACACCATCAGCACCACAACAACACTATCAGCACCACAACACATCAGCACACAACACCATCAGCACCACAACAACGCCATCAGCACCACAACAACACCATCAACACCACAACACCATCAGCACCACAACAACTATCAGCACCACAACACCATCAGCACCACAACACCATCAGCACCACAACAACGCCATCAGCACCACAACAACACTATCAGCACCACAACACCATCAGCACCACAACACCATCAGCACCACAACAACACCATCACTACCACAACAACACCATCAACACCACAACACCATCAGCACCACAACAACACCATCAGCACTACAACAACACCATCAGCAACACAACACCATCACTACCACAACAACACCATCAGCACCACAACACCATCAGCACTGCAACACCATCACTACCACCACAACACCATCACTACCACAACACCATCACTGCCACAACAACACCATCAGCACCACAACAACACCATCAGCACCACAACAACACCATCAGCACCAAAACACCACAACAAAGTCATCATCATCCATCATCATCTTCACCACAACACTATCAGCATGAAAAAACACCATCAGCACCACCACAACACCATCACCACCACCATATATATATATATATATATATATATATATATATATATATATATATATATATATATATATATATATATATATATAATATAATAATAATAATAATAATAATAATAATAATAATAATAATAATAATAATAATAATAATAATAATAATGATAATAATAATAATGATAATAATAATAATGATAATAATAATAATAATAATAATAATAATAAACAACTTTGGCCACGAACCATTACCCTCTAAGGATATGCATCGAATTAGTTGCTCTTATTGTAAATTAATTTAGTCATCGCTAGAGATTCTCATTTCATCATTTTCTTTAACCACAAAACAGGTGTTCTAATAGCACCTGAAGTTATAATGGTAGCATTAAGTCAATTTTGGCATAATTTACACCTAAAGTTTGTGATGTGGACCTTGTAGCATTAGAATGGGATAGGACAAAATCCCTACCGGACAAAATCCCCTCGGACAAAAACCCCACCTGACATAAACCACCCACCTGACATAAACCACCCACCTAACATAAACTCCACCTGACATAAACCCCACCCGACATAATCCCCACCCGACATAAACCCCACCTAACATAAACCCCACCTGACATAAACCCCACCTGACATAAACCCCACCAACATAAACCCCACCTGACATAAAACCTGACATCCACCTGACATAAACCCCACCTGACATAAACCCCACCTGACATAAACCCCACCTGACATAAACCCCACCTGACATAAACCCCAAACATAAACCCCACCTGACATAAACCCCACCTGACATAAACCCCACCTGACATAAACCCCACCTGACATAAACCCCACCTGACATAAACCCCACCTGACATAAACCTCACCTGACATAAACCCCACCTGACATAAACCCACCTAACCCACCTGACATAAACCCCACCTGACATAAACCTCACCTGACATAAACCCCACCTGACATAAACCCCACCACCTGACCCCACCTGACATCACCTGCCCCACCTGACATAAACCCCACCTGACATAAACCCCACCTGACATAAACCCCACACATAAAACCCCACCTGACATAAACCCCACCTGACATAAACCCCACCTGACATAAACCCCACCTGACATAAACCCTCACCTGACATAAACCCCACCTGACATAAACCCCACCTAACATAAACCCCACCTAACATAAACCCACCTGACATAAACCCCACCTGACATAAACCCCACCCCATAAACCTCACCTGACATAAACCCCACCTGACATAAACCTCACCTGACATAAACCCCACCTGACATAAACCCCACCTGACATAAACCCCACCTGACATAAAAACATACCCCACCTGAACATAAACCCCACCTGACATAAACCCCACCTGACATAAACCCCACCTGACATAAACCTCACCTGACATAAACCCCACCTGACATAAACCCCACCTAACATAAACCCCACCTGACATAAACCCCACCTGCCCCACCTGACATAAACCCCACCTGACATAAACCCCACCTGACATAAACCCCACCTGACATAAACCCACCTGACATAAACCCCACCTGACATAAACCCCACCTGACATAAACCCCACCTGACAGAAAACCCCACCTGACATAAACCCCACCTAACATAAACCCCACCTGACATAAACCCCACCTGACATAAACCCCAGCCTACCGGATATCTCTTCCTAAAACAATGTCTGTATGGAACATTATGAGGTGTAGGTTATATGGTAAAATTTAATAAATTAAAGCTCTATTTAAGCCTCAATATTTACCTTATGGTAAATATCCATCAGGAAAGACGCAGCCATTGTGTCCATGCATCTTACACTTGACGCGAGAGGACAACCACTTCACAAACGTGTGAAACGGGAAACCAGAGACCTTCAAAAACGACTTAGGAATCTGTGTTGATTTTAGAGGTTGCCGCAAGACATTGGAGTAAATGCTTAGAGGCATTGGGCATAATATAGGCTTATGATATGACTATAGTCCAGTATAACCTACACTTCATCTGGTCCATACATCGTCTTAGTAAGAGATATTGTCGAAGTGGATTTGTAAGAAATTAATAAATACTCCAATTAGATTTTGTTTTATTTTTTTTAATATGAGATAAATGTTGATGCTTATTTAGTTTTAATTTATTCTTTATCATATAAATTACATTTCATAATGTTCGCTATTATAAACTTTAAATAGATTTTGTTTTATTTTTTCTTTAAGGGATTTTGTCCGTTGTGGGTTTTGTCCGGTGGGGTTTTTGTCCGGTAGGGTGGAGTTTATTTACGATAAGGTTTTTTTGTTTGGAGGGGTTTTTGTCTGCTGCTTTTTTGTCTGGTGGGATTTTGTCCGCGGGGATTTTGTCCGGTGGGGATTTTGTTATGGACCCCATTAGAATCAACCCTACCAAGTTTGGTTTAAACCCGCTAAGCCGTTTCCGAGTTATTTTGAGAAACAGACACACAGAAAAACAAGACCTCTAACAATACACTGCCCAGATGAACGAGAATTACCTGATAGCTCAATGTTTGTTAGAATTCTCAACACACAATAAACCCTCGGGGAGATTACCACTCACGCCTCTCAACCCAAGTGAAAGATAAAATCAGCGTGTCCCTCGGCTCTCATGTGTGGCTCAGCTAGACGACAAGACAGTGAGGCCATAACCTATTTTATATGAACATGAATTATTAAAGAGTCCAGTGATGAATTAATCCCTGGTTAATGTATTTACCACACCTGAAACACTTTTGCTGTGGCACTGAGACCGTGGGGTAGATTTATCTCAACATTGTGGTGTTTTGGTTTCCACAATACTGCCGACTCCCGCCGACCCACGCAGTGTAAGTCAAGGCTGAGACAGTGAGGTGATGTAGCTTTTTTATAATTAGTAGTTTTGTGTTCGTCCACCCATTAAAGGCCAATGTGTGTGTGTGTGTGTGTGTGTGTGTGTGTTACGCTGAATAGGGTTAATTGCCGATTAGCGATAACTTCTATGTACTGTATTCATTTTTTTATCCTTCTTACTGCCCATAGACGATCATGTGGATAGTTATAACACACAGAAATAATTAACTTCCTTTAAAATTTAACCTAACCTAACCTAACCTAGCCTAACCTAACCTAACCTAACCTAACCTAACCTATATGAGGTCTGACTTAGCTACCTTAAGATTACAAACGACATCTTCAATAAAACAGAGCAAATTTTACCACATAATTAATTTTCATTTTAGTTGCAGCAATAAAATAAAAGTTATCCCTAGTTATCCGCATCGTCACCTTTGTTAGTAACATACATTATCTTTTCTCTTTTATTGGGAAAGAAGAAAAATCTACTCAAATCCTTTATGTATTGTAGTGTAAAACGGTAACACAGACTGACAAATTGTAATGATTGTTTATCAGACCATAGCTTACACTCCAGAGAAGAACAGCACATATGACAGTAAGTAGATGAGCAGGTGTACACCCACGCAAGTTGACAAACCCTCCAGTGAGATTAAAACTTGACCCAGGAGAGCTGACGGCCACAAGGTACCTGTGTGTTACAAAATGAACAGTGTAGAAAGATGACAGAAAACACTTCTCCGTAGTTGGGAGAATCAGTGATACACAGGCAAGATGGTTTGGTCATGTTGGATGGGTGGAGATGAGCAGACTGTTAATAAAACTGTTTTATGCAGGAACACACGAGAGCTGAGCTGGTGTGAGTTTGCACTTCCTTATAATATGTGTAAATGAATAGACTCTTAAAAAACTAACCTAA